GAAAGGAAAGGAAAGGAAAGGAAAGAAGGAAAGGAAAGAGGTAAAATAAGCTTAGGCCTCCTGACTTTTCAAATCTACAACCATTGCCTTCCACCTACATCTGGCCATCCAGACCCCCAAGTGGAAAGTCTAGAAGTATTCATCTGGGTCTAACTCATTCTGTCTCGATTGCACCTGTAGGAAAGCACATTGTTTATGATGCAAAATATCCAGTCCTAGCACTTGTTGATAAAGCTGTTCATTAAGCAAAGAATAATTACATGGAACCTTTCATTATATTCCTGTTACTTATATAATTCACTTGGAAATGTGATTTAATATGTTTGGAACAGATTCAAAGAAAAAAAACAGCAGATGGCGGGGACTTGAAAAGTGTCTATTGTTGATGTATTGCATTGATTTGTGTGGAAGTAATTCACGTTTTTAATTTTCTTTCCACTCTAAGGTATTTTCCAAGAATGCAATTCTTGATGAATTCACAAAGCCCTAATAGAGGGTGGCCTTATAATTTATCAAGTATCCCCTTCAGCTGCCTCCGTAAATCCCACTATGCAAGCTATTCCTAAGCGCCAGTTGAGCTGAGCAGATGAGAGTGTAGATACCAGGTTTAAATGCCTGGCCCTGTGGCATCTCACACACACAGTGTGTGTGAGTGTGTGTGTGTTCAGTAACTTTCTTAGTGTTCTTTGGGTTTTGGAGGCAGTTTTCGGAAAACTGAGTTTGAATGCATTTTCCAGACTGTTTAGTAAACTTCAGAGCTCCAAGTCAAACACCGAAGTAGCAGATCTTCACAGAGTTCCCGAGCTGCCCAGACTTAAAAGAGAGCAGGCAAAACTCTTACTTAACTCTCATGCATTCCAAAACAGCAAATGGACTAAGAAGTCCAGGAGAAATGCAAACACAGAAAGAGCCCACTGCGAGGCACAGGAACACGGAGCCACCTCATTCCAGTGTTTCGTCAGCGGGATCCCAGCCAGACTTCCAGCTCACTTTTATAAAGCTGGCCCTGGGCAGCCCGTGTGGCCCTGCAGCCTGCTTGCTCCACAGCTGCTTCTGAGGGGCTGGCCAAGTGGCCCTGCTGGCTCGCCCACCTGAGCGCCATGGCAAAGAATGGACTTATAATTTGCATCTTGGTCATCTCTTTGCTCCTGGACCAGACCACCAGCCGCCCATCCAAATTAAAAGCCAGGAAGCACAGCAAACGCCGCGTGAAAGGTAAGGGGACTTTTCAGCCCAACACAGCTCCAGGCTTCCTCGGTGTGGGTGGGCACTGGGCAAGGTGAATTCCTGTCCCCCTGAGTGACAGCACCAGGCAATCCTGTGCGTGTAGCTTTCTGGGGGTGGAGTGACCTTCTGACTCTCTGGGACAGCCTGGTGTTTAAAGGAATGATGTGATGGACTTTCTTTGTTAGTGAAAGAAAACTTTTGTACCATCAAAAATTTCTGTATTGTGTTATCTTTGGTCAGATTGGGCTTAGATATATGGTAGCTCACTCTATGAGCTCATTTAGATGTGTGAACATCAGGTTTTATGAATGATGGGTCAAGAGGAACACACTGATTAACAAAGTACATTCATTCATAGATATTGACTGATTGCATTCAAACATATAGTAAGATAACTATAATTTTATTGTGAAGCAGAGGATAGAGCTATTGGTAATGTGACTTCCTTTGTTTCACTGTTATCATTTCAGTATATTTTCATAGCCCTGGTAGTCTCTGGATGCTCTGTACCATACATTTAAATTGCTCGTGTGACACACAATTGAGTTGAACCTCTCCTTAAGAATATATGACCCTGCGAGGCCAGTTAGTCATTTAGTCATTTTGAAATGAAATTGACCCTCCAAACAATTACCAATTTGGGATGGCTTGAAGTGGACTAAGAAAAAGAAAATTTTGTTAAGTTTCAAAGAATGGATTTGAGGGTAATGTGTTTGCAATATGCTGAAGCCAAAATCAAAACAAAAAGCACCAAGACTACAGGATGATGTTTTATTTCTTCCTCTGAGTCTTTTTCCTATGAAAATATTCCAAGGGAAACAGCACGGCACTCTTTCCTCACCAATTTCACTTCACTAGAAGCAAAACACAGCAAGAATACCAGCAAGGTTACGGCCCAGGTTTGACACGTCACAGACAGATGGTGGGTGCAAAGGGAGCTGGTCTTGTGTTTTGTTCTGGAGATTATAAGGGGCCCTTTACCAGGGGCACTGATTTATAAAATTTGGGTCTGATACAAGGCTTCCTAAGTGGAGTTATTCCTTATAAAATATTTGACTTCCTTTTTCTCTCTTTTTAATGAAAGTTTAGAATATTTCTCATGAGTAGATCAATTCCATGGCTGAAGAGGAAGACGGAAAAAGGAAGAGAAAAAATACTGGGTGATGTGGCATATTTTTCTTGCCAGCCTTTCACTACCAAGAAGGAGGGGCAAACTTGTGACCACTCAGTAGGGCTGTGGGGAGAGGACAGAAATATGTAAATGCATTCTCTGTCTACCCCTCCTTCTCTCTGTCTCTATCTCTGTCTTTGTCTCTATCTCTGTCTTTGTCTCGTCTCTGTCTCTGCCTCTGTCTCCCTCTCATCAACCTCTGCTACAACCCACATGCTTTAAAAAAAGTTGGATACACATCTTCAATATCACCTCTCAAAAACAATCTTTGCCATTAAGTCCGAGAAGGTACTCTGTAGGAGGTAAAGTAATGCCTACATTTTCTAGACTTTTTTTCCAACTTACACACTTTTATAATATTTAAGTACCTTGAAATGATACCAAAGTATATAAAATCAAAAGTGGACATCATCTTTCCTCTCCCAATCCTTGCCACAGTATTATGTACTATTAACTGTTGGGTGATAAGAGCTCCACACTGGCTATATAAAATATTTAACAGGCAAATGAATTTATCTCATCTAATAAAATAATTTATTTCATCTGTTGAATCTTAGACAGCTATCAATGTAAGACATACTTCATTCCTTTTAACAGCTGGATGCTATTCCATTGTTTGATTGGTTGTGAATTAATCTGTTCCCTATTGGTTAATTTTTTGTGTGTTTTCCAGTACATCTCTGCTGCAATATCTCTGCAAGGAATTACTTTGTACACATATATAGATCCCCATGCTAGGATGTTATAATACATTTTTTAGAAGTAAAATTGTGAGTTAATCAGACTCTTCAACTACTTTTCAAATGATAGCACCTGTCCAGGTCCCATGTCCAGTACAAGAGTGACCATTCCACACATAGCAACCCAACATCATATCATGGTTCTATTGGTCATTTCTTCTAGAAAATTCATTTGCATGCCTATATTGCATCTAATTCTGGATAACAAGAACCAGAAAGTAAAAGGGAACCTTTTAAGAGACTCAAAACAGCAATTGAGTGATTTAGATTCACATACAAAATTTCCTTGGTACTTTATTTTATAGGTCTCAACAAATTATGTATTACATTAATGAATAAAATATAACTTGTACAGTGAAATAGTTGCTCAATATATTCTCTTTGTTCATCCACATTAACAACAAAGGATAGAAGCCAGAAGCCAAGTCACCTTGATAATGACTTCCATAATGATCTCCCAGGAGCCTAATACTAATTCATGTGTCTTCGTGCTAATTCCGATATTTACAGACTCCCAGTGGAGGCTGCTTATTTAAATAGAATGGAGCAAAATGCCGAGCTGGATAGGGGATGATATTTGTTCAACTGATACTTAAAAACTTGGAAGCAAGTCTTCAGCAGCTTTTGCAAGCCTGGCCCTAACAACTGATGGTTCTGCGTTCTAAATGCACCCTTTTATTTATTCCTGTTTGAATGGTCCTGTCAAGAAAACCTTCCAGTCATTGTATTTTTGAGCTGAGCCACTGGATAAGCTTTAAGAACTGAGGTGTAGAAGTAAGTAAAACAAGTGAAACCACTCTAGCTACCTCGGAAGGCAGTTTCCTAACCTAAATATAAAAACATTTGTGAAGCATGAGTTCTACAGGGACAATGAATTAGCACATACAGATTTAAGACTCTTGAAAAATCCAGGGCATAAACCAGATTCTCTGTACAGTATTACCACAAAGAGACAGCTGTGGATTGTTCATATCAAGCTTTAAGCCTCTACTCTAGCTAAGCCATGTGTTGGGGCAGAGGGAGTAGAGCCAATTACCGTGCAGAAGCAGACAACAGGAATGGGAAGAGAACAGGCTCAGGAAATTCATACCCAGCTCTGCACCTTTCTAGCTAGGTGGCCTTTGGCAGGCTAGTTCAGTTTTGGGTGCCTCTATTTCTACTTTTGTAAAGCAGAGCTAAGGAGAGTACCTGTCTCACAGGAATACTGAAAGAATTAATTTTCTGGCAGAAGGTATAGGTGGCTTTTAATATTTTTTATTTTTACTGTTTATTATGATTTGTTTTCATTCCCACTTTTAAAGATCCCATAAGGTACCAATCTGTTGAGAGTTTCCATCAGCTCTGGAAATTTGATTAGGCCAAGTTTGCTGATTTTCTGACAGTTAATGAGCCTGTGGAGTCCCACAGGGTGGGACTGGAGACAAAGGCAGGGGCTCCACCTCACAGGAGGACCTCCCAGTGCTGAGATTCCCACAAAGCCCTCAGAAATCTTCTTACCTAAGTTATTCTGTACATTATTTTTCATGTGTACTTGGCTTGGTTTCATCAAAATCACTCTAGCCTTGGATGCTACAATCCAACTCTTTACTTTTAAACTTAATTTTATTTTAATCATTTGCTTTCCATCCACCTATCCACTCCACTCTCAAACACCACCCCTCAGAAAAAGATGGGGATCTGAAGTCTCAAGTTGAAAAGCTCTGGAGAGAAGTCAACGCTCTGAAGGAGATGCAAGCCCTGCAGACAGGTGAGACACCCGCTACATCCCTCAATGCTTTCTCATGAAGGATGCTGAAAGGGAACTGGACACTACCACTGTTTTGAATGAATCTAGTCTCCATGTTGAGTTGTGGGTGGTATCTTCTTAAGAGAAATATTATCAAATAAGGTATGTGTCCATGTAAAAGGACCCAAAAACTGGGGGATTATAATTTGTTGGGAAATCAGCTTGACTTGCAACCCCTTTCTCCTATAGATGGGTGGTGTAGAAATAAAAAGAGACACTTTAATAACACATTTTTAAAAATCAGTTCATAATTATTCCCTAATAAGTAGAGAAACAGAGTGAAAGATGTGCATTAAAGGCTAAAAGGTGTTAACTAAGTGCCATTTGGAGATCTACTGAGCTTCAACTGAGACAGGTTCACAGGATTCTCCCAGGCTTAACTGGCTCAAAGCACACATAAGGACATTAGTTAGAGCTACTGCCTGATATAGGGTTGTGTCCAGTATTCTTTGCTTTGGGAAAAGAATGCCCCTGACCTGTGTAGCTGTGAACACTGTTGTCCATGTGTATTCTCCAAGGGGTAAGGAAATGAGAGTACACCAGGAAAGTTCCAAACAGCCCTACCTTCTGACCCCAGAAACCAATATCCTTTACACCAGCCCCAAAAGTAGAGTCTAAGGGTCCGCACAAGATAGCTGCCCCAATTCAAGTTAATACCTTCAAGGAAGAGTGAAGTTGCAGCTTTCCATTATGTATTTACAACTCAGATGTATGTTACCAACCCAGAGTCACTTTTACCATATGTGTTGCCACCTAGTAACATGGGTGACATGTTTTCTTCACCAGGTTTCCAAGGTTACAGACTAGAAAGTTAAAGTAAGGTCAAATGTTTGTGCCAAAAGGGGAAGAATTTTATTAACGTTTATCTGTATTTTAACACTATAAATACATCATAAACATTAATCCTCCAACAACTAATATTGACTTCCAGTAATTTATGGTTATCCTCATTTCACAGATGAGATAAGAAGTATAAGGTTTACACAGCAAATAAATGTCAGAGAAGAAGCCCAAACCCAGGCATGACTGCACTGGAGTCTGACTTTCCAGTGCTTTGCCCTAAAACTATCTTTATGTTTGCTTTATTCTAGATATCCAAAACATTATTAACAGGTCTCAAGTATCTGCTTAAGAAATCCATAGCCTCTCTACATATAAACTCAGACTTTTGCTTTCTTGTTGTTTTTTTTAAATAATTATGAAATTCCATCCAATTCCAAAATTCCCAATGAAATTCAGCATATAATAGATCTATATAAACTAAGATGCATGCTTATATCAAAGCAGCCATAGGGTTTAAGACCCTGTTTCAAGGGTGGCTCAGACTTGAGCTTATGTAAATGTGATTTTACATGCTACGTAGGTTATGGTTTTGACCTGCTAAGTTGTTAGAAGTAGCAATTTCTGTAAGCCTCAATATCCTGATAGATGGTGATAAAAAAAATCACCACATAATTACTATATGTTCACTTATGTAAAATGATTAGTACAATGTTTGGTACATATAAATAATAAATGTTAACTCATTATTATCATCACACATCATTCATCCCACAAGTAGCTATCATGATTATCCAGGTCTAGTAATAGGCATATTACACTCAAAGGACATCTTAATAAATCAAATTTCACATCTCCACAGTCTGTCTCCGAGGCACAAAATTCCACAAGAAATGCTACCTTGCTTCGGAAGACCTGAAGCATTTCCATGAAGCCAATGAAGACTGTATTTCCAAAGGAGGGGTCCTGGTTGTCCCCAGGAGCTCCGATGAAATCAATGCCCTCCAAGACTATGGGAAGAAGAGCCTGCCTGGTGTCAATGACTTTTGGCTGGGCATTAACGATATGGCTACAGAAGGCAAGTTTCTTGATGTCAATGGAATGGCTGTCTCCTTCCTCAACTGGGACCGTGCACAGCCCAACGGTGGCAAGAAAGAAAACTGTGTCCTCTTCTCCCAGTCAGCTCAGGGGAAGTGGAGTGATGAAGTCTGTCGTAGTAGCAAGAGGTACATATGTGAATTTACCATCCCCTAACGGGCCCTTCTCAAATGCATCTTCCAAGCACAATTGGTCATGATTTATAGGCTGGTGGTCACCAAGAATAAGTCAAAATTGTTACTATTAATTGCAAAATTGCAACACAAGTGTCAATGCCCATAGCCATATAACAGAGCTGGACAATTTGTTCCCACGTTCACTTGTGATTCTGCCCTTTGTGGAGCACAGCAGATCAGAAATAACAATCTAGCCACCAGGTATGTGCACACTGTTAAAGTGACTTCTGCAAACCAAGTTATCAAATCAGTTTTCCTCTTTCCTTGTCCTGCTACATGTATAGACCCAGTCTGTATAAAAAAATACAACACCCTATATATTTCTTCAGTCCAGAAAAGCAAATTTAGGATACCTAGAAGATGTTTCACTTGAAAGTTTAGGGCAATCAGTGACAGCAATACATTCGGAGAAATGTACCATTAGGGAATTTCAATTTTACGGCGTTAGTCAGTTTTGTTGTTGTACAAACATCCTTGTGTGTACTTATCAAGCCTAGCTGGTCTAGGTAAATCACTCAGTGCAGACTCTTGCTGCAGTCAAGAGACACAGTAAACACAAGGTGTATGAGGTGTCTGCTGGTGTAACATGCAGACTGCACAGCAATATCTTTTTATAAATAGGAGCGTTCTCTAAGACAGCAATAAAAGCTATACTATAGTGTGTTAGCTTTCCGTCACTATGATAAAACACCTGACACAGGCTGCATATGAAGAGAGGTTGGTTTAGCTCACAGTTTTGGGGTCTTAAAAATCAAGATTGGAGAGCCCCACTGGCTTGTCCTCTGGTGAGGGGGACAGATGGTAGGACACCATGGCTGCAGCACGTGTAGAAGCAAATTTCCAAGCCAGGGGTACAGCCCAGTGTTACAGCACCTGCCTGGCAAGCACAAGGCCCTGGGTTTGATTCCTGGGAAGAAAAACATATGCAAATTTCCAACCAGAGCAGAGTTGGGGGGCTAGAGAACAGGATCCCACAATCCTCTTCAACAGCAAGGCCCCAATGATCTAAGGACCTCCTATATGGCTTTACTTCTTAGAGGTCTACAGCACCTCCCAAACCCTAAACCTACTACCCTCGGGATACGTGGGGGACAGAATTAAAGGATCTCAAACCATAACATATAGTAAATACACAAGCCAGTAATGTAGTCGCCATTATTAAGCATAATGTACTGCACTGCATTGTTTTACATTTTATACAACTAACAGTGGGGTAGGTTTGTTTACACCAGTGTCTTCAGCAAGAATATATGAATAATGAGGTTACACTCGTGCTAGAGGGTGAGAACTGCTCCATCACTGTGCAATGTAAATTTTTCAGTTCATTATAATTTTATGGGACCACCCTCATATATGCAGCCTGTCGTTGATTGAAATGTGGTCATGCAGTGCATGACTGTATATACTGGATTGATGAGAATTCCCTCAGTCAGAGATTCTAGGTGCTATACAGTCCATAAACTTTGCAGCCTGATACTCCATCTATGCTATCTCAATGGTCTATCTTGCTGGCCCAACATCCTTGAGGTGACCTTGTTGCCTCTTCTAGTGGGGCTTGTATCTTGTCTGCCATGTCAGGACAAGGATGTCCAAAGGGGTTTTGCTTTACTGCTGCTTTGTTCAAACTCCCCCAATCTGGCTTTCTTTAGAAGTTCTGAAAGGATCCAAAAAGACACAACCAGGGAGCATATCTGATCAATTTCCATTCTGAATATTTTGTTACAACTTCCAATTTAAATGAGTAACTCAAAGACAGAGAAAGTGCAGATTATTTGCTAAATTAGGGGTGGGGGTTAAAAGTCTACTTTTCCTTTGCTTTTTCATCCTTACTGTCTTCCTTTATATGTGGTAGGTTTTTATTTTACTTTCTTTATATACTTATGTATATTTCAACCATGGTTATATATTTATAAGTCTATTAGGGGTAACATATATTTGAAGTTGAATGTTGGATTTAAATACTGTAATACTATTTTAGAGCCATGTGTCTTTGCCAGTGCTATTCTGCCAAATGCTATTTTGATTAAATTGTTTAATGAAAGGGCTGGGGATTTAGATCAGCGGCAAAAGCGCCTGCCTGGCAAGCGCAAGGTCATGAGTTCGGTTACCGGTACCGGAGAAAAACCAAAAAAAATTAAAAAATAAAAAAATAAATTGTTTAATGAGATTGTATAAAATAACTTCACTGCTCAAAATGGAATTACAAACTTTAGGCTTGAGGGAAATGAGCTTTTTAGAACCACACAATTCTGAATCTATCTTGCCTTTCAAATAAACGTATTCTTTTCTTTCAATGTTGACTGTGTTTTGTGAATAATAGCCTGCTCTGCATACTTTAGCTATAAATGCATGGAATTAAGTTTTAGGTTTTTTCATGGTACAATAATAAAGCGTGAAGTTTGACCAATGTGAATGTGTTTGGATGTTGGTTACAATTACTCAATCTCTGTTGGTTTATATCAAATTTGGAAGAATTGGAGGAAAATGTACCCTGGATTTGATCAAAGTAGTGATACAAATGAGATGTATTTGGAGAACACTTTCACCTGGCAATGAAGATGTACAGTCTGGAAGGTTGGGGTCACTTTGAAAGTGTTGGAGCTGCAATTGTATTAGGTTAATCCTAGCGAGCTCCAAAATAGCTGTAGTCTTCTCACAGTTAATGACAGCAATGAAATGAGTAGCAGGACTAAGCACATTCCAAGTATTCTACTAAATCTGACATAACTCTCTTCTATCTTCTTCAGAACAATCCTAAGAATTAAGACCTAGACTTTTTTCTTATTATGGAGAGAAAAAAATGAAAAAAAAATAGTGTGGTTAATTGTCCTAAATTGTAAACCAGCAAGAAAATGGTTTATGTTTGAACCCCACAGGCTTGACTCAGACTGTGTGACCTCAGCAACCACAGGGGACTGTGACATGGCAAGGTGTTATGATCTATTTCTAGATGTCCCCCAAAAGCCTCATGTGATCATGAGGTGAGGCTTTTGGAAGGTGATTGGATGATAGGAATCCTATATAAGAATCCTGTCCATCAGTGGACAATTCACTGATGAGTGAAGATTAATACACTGAGAGCTTACAACTCAATGTGCTGGTTTGAAAGAGGTGGACACCTTGAGGTATGAACTGGAAGGGTAGATCTCTCTCCCCAGCTTCTCCCTTAATACTCTCAGCTTCCTGGACACCATGAGGTGAGCAGCTATTTCCCTGCTGTGCCATCCTGCCTTGGAGCCAGCCAACTGGGGACAGAAACTGTGAACCAAAATGACCCTTTCCTCCTTTAAGCTGTGGGTGTCACATCCTATGTCAGTGACAAAGAAAGTGACTAAGACACAAGGCCTGGTCTAGCGGGAAGTAGGGGCAGATTCTCATCCAGTCCTCAAAGCTCTCTTCTAAGGTCATGATTTTGGCTAAAAGCAGAACTTGAAAGGACATCCACTCCTAGACTGCCTCACAAAGGTAGGTGTGTGTGTCTCCTTCCATTTTCCAAGGGCTGAATAAGGACAACCAAGGTTCACTCACTGGCATCTTGAGGATCCCTAAAGATGGGGTTAGGTAAAACCTTCCCTAAAACACTTCAATCACAAAGAGCAAGAAGTTAAACCAAAAGGAACTGATGAGCCATTTTACAGGATCAGCCATACTAAGAGGAAGATGAACACCTCCTTCCCACCCTCTGGCTATAGAGCTCATGATGAATGAAAACTTGGCCCTTTTTATGAGAAGTGGAGAGCCACAGAAGTTGCTGGTGACACTTTGGATGGGGTCCAAATTGGTGGTGGGAAGGATAGATGGTGTTTCCCTGTGAAGCAGGAGCCCTTGACCCTTGACCAAGTGCACCTGCTACAAGGTAAAAGGCATTGCTATTACAGAGGAGGAGAACTGGAGGGAGAAAGCACAGGTCTGCTGGGGTGGATGCCAACAGGAGCATTCTCAACTTGGTTATTGGGAAAACAGGAGAGAAGAGTACTCCTGGACCTGTGGATACCACTGTAACTTGTCACTTCAGGCCTAATAGAGCCAGGCATGGTGACACACACCTGTAATTCCACCACTTTTGGAGGCTGAGGCAGGAGGATTATAAATTAGAGCCCAGCTTGGGCAACTTAGCAACTTAGTGTAAACTGTCTTAAACATAAAAAACAAAAGGCTGAAGACACAGTTTAGTGTATCAGTCAGGTTTACTATAGAAACAGATATAACACAAGACATACAAATGCACAAGAAGTTACAAGTTTGGCTGAGGAACCACGCAGAGGGTATCTGCATGCTGGAGATTGAAAGGTCCAGTCCAAGGCCTGGAGCTCACTACAGTGTCTGTGCAAGTCCATATCAGGAGGCTGATGGGTCTGTGGCAGAACACTGAAGAAACTACAATGAAAGCCAAAGAGTTTACACCAGAGGGCTGAAGAGTCCCAGGTGGAAGCCAAACTATCTGCACTAGAAGTCAGGAGATGACCACCAACCTGAAGTCAAAGATTGGAGCTCCCCCAAAGAACCAGCAATCAGTCCTTCCTCATTTCCCTTTTATTGCATGCAGTCTACTCACCCTGGGGGGTGGGTCCTGTACACCCACACCTTCTCTATGCCTTCCTCTTATGCAGGCTCAGGATGAATACAAAGTAAGGACCCTGGCTTCCTGCTGAGTCACATAGTTAACCTTCTAAACTTCTCAAGTTGACACAATGAACAACATCCTAGAGACAGGGCGTGTCCTTTTCACCCCAGGATGTAGAACTGCTGAGTCACTTAGTTATGTTTCCAGACTCCTCAAGTTTATACAACATATCAACCATAACACCCAGTGAAGTTCCTGAGTTCAAATTTAGAAAGGAAAGGAGGAAAGAAGGAAGGAGAAGGAAGAGAAAAGAAGAAAAGAAAAGAAAAGAAAAAAAAGAAAAGAAAAGAAAAAAACCTGTCAGAATCCACAAACTTTCCAATCTCACTGAAGAAGATGCTGTCCTCCAATATGTTGTCAAAAAACCCTTAAACAAGGAAGGTAAAAACCCAGGAGCAAAACACTAGAAATCCAACCTCTTGTCACTCAACATGTCCTTTAACATGAATGCTTGTGTATTGGTCTGAAGAAACAGCATACCAAAAAAATAAGGAAGCAAGTCAGACATGGTAGGACATACCTAAAATCCCAGCACTCAGAAGTCTGAGGCAGGAGAATTGTCTTGAATTTGAGGCCAATCTGGTCTACACAATGAGTTCAAGGCCAGCCTGAACTACATAGTGATATCTTGTCTCAAAACAAACAAAACAGAAAGAAAAGAAAGGAAGAGAAAGAAAAGAAAAGAAAGGAAAAGAAAAGAAAAGAAAAGAAAAGAAAAGAAAAGAAAAGAAAAGAAAGGAAAAGAAAAAGAAAAGACAAGGCTGCAGAATATGCTAAACTTTTGGCCAAGAAAATGAAACGGCCAAAATAAAAACAGAGAGAGGTTGTCATGAAACACAGGCTGCCCTCCTTGAGAACTTCTGCAGTATTACTCTGCAATAAGAAAGACAAAGAAGTCATTTGTAGGAAATTGATGCTCCTTGAGACTATCACATTAGGTGATGTAACTCAGACACATGTTTAAATATAACATGGTTTCTCTTCCATGAGAACCCAAACTATGAATAAAGAGCAAGACACAAGATAGATAATAGAGAGTAGGGAGATAAGTCTTTCTCAGATGGGAAGGGGATACTTCTGGGTATCTTCCCAGAAGAATTAAAAACATCATACCACAGCGATATATGTGCACTCATGTTGATAGCAGCACAACATGTAATAGCTAGATCTTGGAAACAAGCCAAATGCCCATCAATCAAGGAATGAATAAAAAACATGTGGTCTTTCTACACAATGGAGTACCACTCAACCATACTGAAGGAAACAGGAGACTTTTATAGGCGAATGGGTGCAACCTGAGACCATACTCATAAGTGAAGTAAACCAGACACACAAGCGCAAACATTGTGTGAGAAGCTGAAAGAGTAAATAAGATCCAGTATGTACAATAGAAACTATAAAATGGGAAGAAACTGTTCAAAAGGAAGAGAAACTGGGATGGGAAAAGGAGAACAGAAGCAAGTGAAAAGCAAAATAGATAGATAGATAGATAGATAGATAGATAGATAGATAGAGATAGAGATAATAATTAAGATATACTAGTAATTTCTCTAAGTTCATTGAAAAGGACAGTTTATGCTAATATTATTTGGACAATTAAATACCTGCATGTTGTAGTGTGAGTAACTAATTTAAAGATAATAATTTGCAATGTAATAACCATTGTTGCCTTCCTATTATCTTGCTTTGAAATTTTGTTTTATAATTTTTCTCTTTAAAATAAAAAGAAAAAAATGGGAAGAAAATAAAGAGATGGAGGGAGAGGGAAGGGAGGGGAGTGGAATGGGTTGGAAAAAGGAATCAAATTATGTCATGAACATGAGTGAACTCTACACAAGGAATGTAGACATTACATACTGCAAAGATGCACTGATACAAATAAAAATTTTTTGAAATAAGAAGTTTGTAAGAGTAACAAATAAGCTGGGTGTGGTGGCACAAGCCTGTAAGCCCAGCACTCAGCAGGCTGAGGCTGAGGCAGGAGGATCACTGTGAGTTCAAGTTAAGAGATTACCTGGTTTTCCCAGAGTCAAATTTCAAGACTGACTTTATTACTCAGTGAACAAATCAGAAAAGCCCACATTGTTACCAACTGGGTACTATCTAGCAAACAGCAAGGGGCCTCAGGCAGAAATCAGAAATTGGTCTGAACCATCAGCCCAACCCGTAAGCCTTCATGAAAACTCCCTGGTATTCTGGAAGGCTGAGACAGGAGGATCACAAGTTTGAATCCACACTGTATAACTTAGTGATTTAGCAAGCACTTGTCTCAAAATAAAAAATAAAGGCTGGTGCTCACGTGCTTTTTCAGTGCAGAGCTGGTACCTCTTCTGACGCAGCAGCTAAGAAGGATCCGTGCTCCCTGTGACCAACGAAAAGTCCAAGAAGGAGTCAAGACTCAGAATAACAATCGTAATAATGTGAAGTTGGTGGG